CACCTTCGTCGTTCATCTTCATCATCATCTTCTACAGGTTTCCAGGAGTCCCAGCAGAGCCTCAGGAGGAGAACGGGATCCAGTACAGATTTGAGGTTTACGAAAGCATTTAAGCTTTGATTGGAGAGCAAACAAGGCGAAGAGATGAGGATCGGGTTCACGGCTGTCTGTGATCCAGTGGAAAACTGTGGAGGCTTTGGATAAACCTCACAAAGAAGAAAACTACAGCAAGGACTAAAATGCATGGCTGGATGCTGATGTTCAGCTTTGGTGCTTTTCTTTACTGGGGTTAAAAGACGCAGTTATAGGGGGACCTTCCTTCAAAATGTTGGCAGGGAGACATTTCTGTGCAGAGAACATGAATTATTGCTTCTTTGAGGTTCTCTATTCCTGAAAAGAGAGTGAAAAGAAATTATTTTGTTTTTAATGTTCCTGTTTACTGTTCAGTTTTGGGGGGGAACCAGCTGCTGTAGGCAGGATCAGTCAATCTCATTAATTACAACTAAAACTGTCTGATTATACTCCAAAAATAGTTTTACTGTGACTGTTTTATACACTTTAATTAAAGTAAATATAAATCCACATCTTGCTTCTTTCTGTTTCTTTACATTCCAGGTAATAAAAGACTTTGAATAAGTAGTTTGGTGGTAAAATCAGCCTGGAAACCTCTGGTCGTCTGCTTCGCCAGGTTTCAGCCTTTACAGATGACTCATCCGGGGTTCTCTGTTCTCTTCAGCTCTGGAAAACAGCTGGATCAGAGGCTGAAACAATCAGATTAATAGTGATTCATCCATTATTGAAATGATCGTCAACCAATTTAGAAATCAATTATTAAATTAATAGAGACTAAAATATGCCTTAAGCTGACAGAGCAACCCACTTAGAGTGACTTATAGCAAGATTGTAAAAGAATAAATGTTGCGTTTAAGTTGAAAATACTTTTTCATCTGTCAGATCCTTAATCCAGAGCTCCTCAATTGGAAAAGTTTTAGTTCCACCTGGTTTAATTCTATAAGAAACGTCTTTGAGGGACCTTTTGCTCTCAGATTATTAATTGATTAACAAAATAATCGTTAGTTGCAGCCCTACAGAGGACCATAGCCGAGAGGATGCCTTAACACAAACTGAAAAAATAGAAGAAAATACATTGAAAAGTTGTCTTAATGTTAACCCAGTTTCCAAACAGACCAGTGGACACATGAAGCAATCAGCCATTTAGTGAAAGTGGTCAAATTATGATTAGGAAAATGAAACTTGAATATTTTGGACAACATTCATAATAAATTGGTCAAACAGAAATGGGTTAACTACGGAAGAGGATTAGGGCCACTGGAAAAAAAAAAAGTTAACTGATTTTTTCAGTATAGTATGGGAAAAAAGTCAGAATTCTGGGATTAAAGTCAGAATTCTGACTTTTTTCCCATGTTAAACTGAAATAAAATTTAAAAATCAGTTTACTTTTTCTTTTTTCAGTGGCCCTAATCCTCTTCCGTAGTTATCAGTGAATCAGTTTAACCTGAGTGCAAATAATGCAGTACTGGGGTTTAAAACACTCTTCAACGTTTTCCAGGCCATGGACCCCCAAACTGATGGCGAGATGGAGCAGGGGCCCCCTAATTATATATATCAGGGGTCACCAACCTTTTTAAGGCTGAGGGCTACTTCATGGCTACCGAGTCATAGGAAGGGCTGCCAATACTGACCTATGAACAGGAGGGATCAGTGTTCACCTACAGTAAATCTCATCCATAAAAAACTAATTTTTATTCTTATTTTATTCATTTCTAATTTTCTTTTTAATGTCATTTTGAAACCACTGAAATATGATGAAATACTTAACATGATGAAATAATACATAAATGATTAAAAAGAAGAGCAACAGAATAAAAAAATAAATAAACTTGAGTGAGGTCTTCTGTTTTCAGAAGAGGGCCCCCCATGTGGTCTTTGAGGGCCCCTTGGTGCCCGCGGGCACCGCGTTGGTGACCCCTAAAATATATTGATGAAATTGTTCTATCGAACTGGTCCTATAGTCATTCTATAACAGATGGAGTAATGTAACTAAAGTAATTTTTTCCTGGGATTACCGGTATTAAAGTATT